AGTTTCATGTGTACACACTCAATCCCAGCATCACCTTCAATTTTATGACTACAGTCACAGTATTTTTAGATTGACTTCTGAACACTCAAGGATACCTCAATCAGTTCCTGGCAAAACTTTTCTGGTGTCCCTTTAGCACTTCATAAACAAAACAGTGGCCCATCTTCAGGGCTGTTATGACGCAAAATTAAATAGTAATCTAGATTGAGTTTCTTGGAGAAATAATTACATGACTAGAAAACTGTTATGTTTCTTAAGTGACAATTTTAAATAATAAATTCCATGGCAACTGCAGTTTTATTCTCCTTGTCTGCGCAATAGCTTTGAAGTTATCTTATAGAAGCTCCTCTCAGTTTCTGAGACAATATAATTCTTGTTTTCCTACCTAGGCTTTTTTCCAGCACCATCTTCTCTTCCCATGCCTCAAATATGACTTTATCCTAAGTTTACCACAGCAGTCTACTCTCCATGGTCCGGTGTTGCTCAACACACGGCCCACTGACCACAGAATACATCAGAATTACCTGGGGACTTCTAAAAGAACAAAGACTCCTAGGTCATGCTGGTCCTAAGAAATCCCAGAATATCTAGGAGGTACCAAGGGCCTGCACGTTTCGCAAGTACTGCCAATGTTGATAGTTTGAAATCCACTGCCCATTTTTTCAGGCTTGCAGCTTTAATCCCATTCGTAGCCTCCACAAGCAGAGTGACCAAGAGAGCCTTAGCTGGGACAAAGGGCTGGTTAGAACTGTGGCTCTATCACTAAACTGTCAAATTATGGTCTGTTATGAGACTTAAATGAGATAATGTATGTACAGTACTTGGCAGAATCCTTGACCTGAAGTAGACAGTCAAAATGACTATTATCAATGTGCCCCAACTGATCTGTTTCCATTCTCCAACCCTCAAACTGGCCTACTCTTCAGGATTCCCTATTTTTGTTAACCCAACCATTTTACTAGTATTCCAGGCTTCAGTTTGCATCTTATCTTTTCCATCAATCCACAAGCTGTTATATTCTTATTCATGCTTATCTGCCTGACACAACCATCTCAACTTCTACCATTCCATGTCCTACTCTAACAAATTCTTCTGTAAAGCCTTTCTTGACCATCCGTTTCAAGTAACCTACCTGTTCGTATGCTCATTCATACACCTATATCACCAATAAAAATCCATTAGAGGCAGGGCGTGGTAGCTCACGCCTGTAATCCTAGCACTTTGGGAGGCCAAGGCAGGTGGATTACTTCAAGCCAGGAGTTCAAGACCAGCCTGGCCAACATGGTGAAACCCCTTCTCTACTAAAATTACCAAAAAAATCAGCCAGGCATGTAATCCCAGCTACTCAGGAAGCTGAGATGGGAGGCTGAGGCAGGAGAATTGCTTGAACCCGGGAGGCAGAGGTGGCAGTGAGCCGAGATTACACCACCGCACTCCAGCTTGGGCGACAGAAACCCTGCCCCCCCACCAAAAAAAAAAATCATTAAAAATTAACTATTCACCTCTTTATATATAGTTTCCCCAATTAAGAGCATAAATTGCTGAAGAGAATAGACAGATCAAAATCTCTTCTTGGTTCCCAAGACTAAACTTGTCTGAGATTTGAAGGAATTTTGTTACTCAATAAATTCCTCTGCCAAGATTTTAAAACTAGATTATAATTCAAGTTACTAAGTTAAAGGATCTTTAACCAGGAAAGCTCAAAAAGACTAAATTGAAATGGGAGATAGAGATGACAGTCAGAAGCCATAATCGGATATACTACTGTCAAAAGAAAAATAGATGCTCTACAAGCTACTAAATATATTGTCTCAGATAAACAGCTTGTAAACAATTATACAAATTAAACTATGGAAGTGGCAATTTATGAAATTCAGGTTGTTTTACTGAAATCAAGATAATCCTTATTTTCAATTTTAGTGCTCACAGCAAAACTTTTCAAATTGAGCCCAAGTCAATTTGAAGGTGTTCCTGGAAATAGTTCCTTTACAGAACTCTAAATTTAGATCACATGAAGGATACTGGGAAACCACACAAATAACTCAAAAGGGAAGTTTCCAATTTATAAAACCAGAACTCTGAATCTAACACTCAACCCAGGTAATTTTTTTCACAGTGCAGCTGGGAATAAAATGACTTGAGAGTAATTTTTAAAAAATTGTCATGCTGTGTACCTTCCCATTTTGTATGACATGGTTTTATACACAAATAAATAAATGCCCTGTCTGCAACTTTTTTTCTCGGTCTTACTAGAGAGATGAAGCTTGAAACCTTAAAAAGATACCAGACATACAGAAATATGTAGAAAGTATAACATAATCTTTGTAAATCTCCATAATGATTTAAAATATTTGCTTACTAACTGGAAAAACCACTCAGTAGGCTCATGCTGTGAACTAGCAAGAAAAAGAAAACACACTGAAAATTGACATTTCCATCAGGTATAAAATGTTTAAAAGAAATGCAGGGGAGAGCCGGGCGCGGTGGCTCAAGCCTGTAATCCCAGCACTTTGGGAGGCCGAGGCGGGTGGATCACGAGGTCGAGAGATCGAGACCATCCTGGTCAACATGGTGAAACCCCGTCTCTACTAAAAATACAAAAACTAGCTGGGCGTGGTGGCGCGTGCCTGTAATCCCAGCTACTTAGGAGGCTGAGGCAGGAGAATTGCCTGAGCCCAGGAGGCGGAGGTTGCGGTGAGCCGAGATCGCGCCATTGCACTCCAGCCTGGGTAACAAGAGGGAAACTCCGTCTCAAAAAAAAAAAAAAAAAAGAAATGCAGGGGAGAGACTATTTAGAAAAGCCTCAGATGGCAGCCATCATCTCATAACCAGCAGTTTTCAGCAGTTTTAAAAAATCTTATGACAGTGAGAACCTGAAAAATTCCACTGTACTTCACTTTTTCCCTTTTACTGTATCAAACTATGGGTACGTAAGCTGCCTAGCAAAATACAAGGAGCCCAATCAAACCTGTGGAAAAAGTAGCGAGTATAGATTAGCTATTGTAGTTACTAGATACTAGATGTCTTCTGGAAGAGATGAAAAAAGAACACTTCTGTTCAAAAATTTTGATCCCATTTAAAATAAAGCAAGGAAATCTAAGTTGTATTATACACTAAAAAAGTTGTGCTTGTGATAAGCTGCCAAAACTTTTAATTTGATTATGTGGGGGAGAAGGGTTCAGAAGGCTGGTAAAACTACATAGATAGTGAAAATGTTAAGGGCAGACAAAAGCCAGACATCTCAACACTGCTTATTCATTTCCCTAAAGTTAAGGTTGTCTAATTTTACAATCTCTCTGTGGGACCCAAAAAAAAAAGCACAGGTGGCTAAAGTATCTATCACTCGCAATCTGATTGCATACTTTCTTTTGTTGCTGTTATACACTGTAATATCTTAACTCTTAAGTTTAGAAATCAGTATTTGTAAACAAGCAACATTTTTATAGCAGTAAATCCTCCTGCATCATTAAATCATGACTAAGGGTAAAGGCCAAGGTTAACAGCAAATGTCAAAATTGTAAAGGACATCAAGGCTATAGGTCCCAAATCCATAACCAAGATTTTAAAACTTTGGCTCCCACATTAAAAGTATTTTTTAATGTTAAAAATAAATTAAAAAATAAAAATATCAAGTAGAACAAAAGTTCTGACCTGAAATATGACACTTTGGTGAAGGAAGGAAGCTAGTGATGGCAGCAGAGTGCCTTAAGACTTCCATCTAGAGAAACACACCCAACATTAAAAGCCCTCACCCTATTAATTATAATGCATTTTGACCTCTAAAAACCCTCTTACCTGTTTATAAGAGTTTATACAGCTGTTTGCCACTGGAACACCACCTTGCAGAGTATAACCGTGGCATCCTTTGTTGATAATCACCTGTTGCCTAGCAATCATCATCCTGCATGGAGAAGACAGCACTAGGGCTCTTCCATCCGAGGTTAAAATTCAAAACAAGCCCAACAAGCCTGCATTTCAAGGTGGTCTTCGTCTGCAACTAGTTTAAGTTTAAAACTGGCAAACAACAACAATGGTGTCTGAAGCCAATGGTGCAGCATTGCTGGCTTCCTCTTGAACTCCAGCGTTGTCACTGTGTACTGAAGTCTCCTGCTGCAAACAGGGGAGTTGTTCTCCTGTACTGGGAACAGGCTTCCAAAACTCAGGAGCCCCTGTACAGGATAATGCAGGAACTAAAGGCAAACATTTTTCCTCCTTAAGGATGCCTCCATCTTTTTCCTCACAATCTGTACTACCAACCGAAGTGACTGGGCCTGAGTGTGCGTTCGTACCTATGAAACCGTCACGGTGCATGCACATCCAAGGCATGTGGAACCAAAGGTCAAATAAGGCACAGATACCAAGTAACGGTTCTAATTACAAACGCTAGCTCTCAGGAACTCTTCATCCATTCAGAACTAAACCCATCACTGTATAACTCTGGTAAGAAGCCCCTGGAGACGAAGGAGCTCCTCAAATGTGTCAGGAAAGGCTTTATTAACATCATCATTAACATTTAAAAAGCAAACGGAGCATTTCTCCTTCTTTTGGCAATTTGGTGCAAATGTTAAGTGCAAGATAAAGCAATTTCAAACTTCTCTTCAAATTAAAAATGAAACTAAGGCCAAACGTGATGGGTGAACAAAATAAATCAAAACTTAAATTTCAGCAACTCCAGCTCTTCAAACCAGCAAAAGCCCCCGACTCGTGCACTGTGGTGAGGCTCAGGGTGCCTGCCCCGGCTTCTTGCGTGCCAGCAAACAGCACCATTTCCTCATCACGTTGAGAACCGAGAAGCAAATGATCCCCTTCACTGCAAACAAAGAGGGTCAACAGTAACACTAGTGATCCTTCAGAATTGACACACTGTGATAAGTCAAAATGAAATTGATGGTCTCCCTGCTTCTTGCTCAAGACATACAAGATCTGAGCAGCAGCAAGTACCCCCTCGGCTGCAAACAAAGGGGTCAAAGGTTTGCCGTCAATTCACTTCCAGGCAGAAAAACATTTTCCTCAAAAGAAACAATTTATTTAGAATAAAACAAAAGCAGCTCAACTGTGAGCGCACGTTTGAGAGACAGCTACTCTTAAGCTGTGTGAGCCATAAAAAGGGTTTTTCTTTACTTTTCCAGAAATCTTGTGTACACAGCACAAAGCAAAGAGGTCATTTTTTTTCCACTTAAAACACCGGCATTGGCATCACAATAGCAGATACACAACTTTAAGCTGCCATTTTAGTAAAATGCACAAATATTAAACAGATTAGCTTTCTTCCATCAGAGGCCCATGTAAACTCCACACAAGCCACAACTTCTCTTCAAAAAGGTCCATTAGAGCTTTGAATTCCATATCTTCATCCGCTGTTCAACCAGTTTTGCTTGCGGGGGAGGGGGGGGAAAAAAGGTTATTCAGTACAAATGTTTACAATATTAAAAATATATATATTTCCCCTATGCCATTATAGATGAATATAACATTAACAAGACCTTCTTGGATAGTTCACCTCAACTTCAAAAAGCACCAATAATACCCACTGGCATAAACCTTGAAATGAATTTACTGTATGACTAGACATATAACAAATAGAATAGGGTGGCTTTTTTTTTAAAAGACTGCAATTGAAGATAACAGGACTGAAATATCCTTTATACTCATGTAACTGAGTAAAACATGTTGGAAAAATTCAGAAAGTTTTACAATCAATTTATAATCTATCAATATATTCTAAATAGAACTTAAAAAGTGACACTATAAAAAGATGACGTTTAGTCAAACTTTTGCCCCATCTATTTTCATTCTGTAATTTATATGGAGCAACACAGACTACTCCATTACTGTAGAAAGGGGTCGATACAAAGCCATTTAAAAATCCACCCTCATCTATGTTACCAAAGACAGCAGCCGTTATTTTAAGAAAACACTCATACAAATCATTGTTAAACAGCCAAAGAAGACTTCAGGACTCTCACTTTTCAACTGTTTAAGCCACACATATAGAACTCTTCATTAAGCTTAACATTTCACTGTGGTTACCTGAATCATTTTCTCCCTTTAGGGATACCAGTATAACCACTATAACAGAGTCAGCGCCAAGTTTTCTCTCTTCTTATAAGACCTAACTCCTATCTCAAAACCAAACACTGTGGCAGAGACAGAAAAAAAGTCCAGAAATTCTCTCCAAATTTTTTTTCACGTAAAAGGTCATTAAGGCCCTCTTCTCAAGAGGATTTCCTAATTCTGTTACCAGAGATTTTGGGGAATGGTTCCTATATGGACCCAAACTATATTTCAAACTGTACATGGATAATGAACAATCTGCCTTAAAAAGGTGGATTGACATTTTTTATTTTAAAAAAAGCATTGTCAGTGAAAACCTGCTAATCGTTTTTAAATAAACCTAAACAATGTCTGACTCTGAAAGGAATAACCAGACACCTGACTCTGGACCTAAAATGATCTGCGAGTCAAGAAGGGCCAGAGTATATTTTACCTTCAAATGCTTATAACCAGCCAGGGGATGGACATTTTAAGAAGTAATCCTCAAAAGAAAAACTGTCCACTCTCAGTTAAGAGACAAAGTACACCAAGAATTTAAATCTTTGTGTGAAAAAAACTATTTATAGGAATCCCAATAAAATAACCTAAGAGTAGAACTACTGGCTAGGTATTGATTGCTTAATTTTCCATAAAATTTGAAGCTGTGATCTCAAAGTCTTATCTTCATGTTTTTGCCAGTAATACTTAAGTCATTGGATGATATCCTGAAGTTTTCTTTCCATTCATTTTAACTGAGTTCCAGAAAAATCAACTACATTAAAATAATGATAGAAAAAAATTGGTTGTTACAAAGAACATTCAACATTGGGATTATTAAATCCTGGCTAATGAGAAGTAGAACAGTTTTAGACTTTTGCTTTCATTCGAATTCTGAAGGTTTAACTAGATACTTTATGGATATTATGAACCTACACAAAAGAATGGGCAATACAAATAAGAGGTTCATGTACACTGTGGCACTCTGTAAGTAATAACCAAACTAATCATAATTTTTTTCTAATAATATAAACATTTAGAAATGGTATCAAACCATTGTTTCAAAAACACTGAAGCATAAATTGCTCAGACCTAACAAAAGCAGCAATGTCAGGTAAGGATTCAAACAAACATGGAGCAAAAACACATACCCTTCTGTAAGCTGTCATACTAGCCAAAAAAAAAAAAAAAGAGAGAAAAAATAACACATTTTGGATGACAGTAAAATTAGATACCATGGACTTCACTATCCAAAGAGCAAAATCATTTGTCCAACTATCTTATCAAAAGATTTTCAAAAGTTAATGGTTAGTGAGATTATTTCAACAGGAAAAATGTAGCTAGCCACAAATTATACTTTGAGCCCATGTATGCACAGACTCCACACTTGAATTAGTTCCTGAACAGTGTCTACTCCAAACCAAGCACTGCTTTTCCAAAGCAGGAAGCATCAAGTCTTCACTGTAGGATTTCAGGTATTTTCCTGAGGCACAACAAGGACCTTCATGCTCATAGCTTAGTACTTTCCTTCTCTCAAAATGGCTAGTGTTTCCAGTTTAAAAAGAAACAACAACAAAAAAAAGCCCTACAAAACCTGCACACTTAAAAAATTATAAATGCATAGTGAAAACCAAGAGGGATGACACAGCAGTGATGATACTTTCGTGCTGACATGCATTAGACACCTGTCATAATGTAAAATAAAAATTACATGACATTTCCCTGGGTTATTATTGGTGCTATTTCAAAACTACCAGCTTTGATAACAGAAAGAAAACAGTTGGGTTCTGCCAGGCTTCAAATAAGTCACTTTCACAGAACAAAAACATGACTGTGATCCAGAAGGTCCAAAAGCCTCTAATCATAATTAAGTATCAAGGGCCTTAGCTGAATTCTTCAGCACTTAAATCAAGGGAGAAAAATATAGCTACTAATGACCTGACAAACTAGGGGTGAGACAGAGGGGGTAGATTAAAAAAATAATAATAATAATCCATTACTGTTAAGCAGCAAAAGTCCTTGTTGAGAACCAGAGGTTGATATCATTCTCAGCTTTGGGAAAAAAAACAAAAAAAACCAAAAAAAACCTGTGAAGGTAAGTTAAATGATCCTGCAATTAATTCCAGGTGCCTGGGAAAATAAAACAATTTTAAAAAGGTTTTCCTACACTGACATTTCAATTCTGTAGCTGGACAGCAGCAAGAATATTAAACATAAAACTTCCAAGTTGTTGAAAACATTTCTAATAATGTAATGTCATTACTGTTTAAATATGAAAATAAAGACAAGCAAAATTTTAAAAGAGGATGTCAAAGGCATTTTATGATAACGTTTTAAAAAACTATGCAATCCAAATATGGCTGATTAATGCCCACTGAAACAAAAGATGACTGTGAGCCTGCAGACAACTCTTCTTTCTATTATTGAAACCAGAAATTTGAATGGATACAACAACAAAAACTCATCTTTAATGAAGAACACTTAATTTTGAAATATGCACAATTAGAACTGTACCTGCTACACCTTTGAAAAAGTCAGTAAAAACACCACCACACACCAATTACTGACCAAATAATTCTGATTTTAAAAGCACCTACTCACTTCTTGCATACTAGTGTAAGCATAAGACATGTATGGTTTGTAACATAGTCCTTAATTTTTACTGAACAGTTATTGCTACAAACCAAAAGTGCATATACGGGATACAGAACTCTAGAAAAAATCACTTTAAAAATGCATGTTAAAACAAACTCTCTGGGAATAAACTGTGTCTTAAGAAATACTCAAAAACCTGATTAAAACAATTACAATGCTATACAATTTACCAGCGTATACCTTTGAGATCCCTGATCAAATTTCAGTCATACACACTCTGGTAAAAGAACTATTCAGGTACACACCAATCAAGTCATTTTCAGATGGATGTTACTCTTTATATGGTCAGTGGACTCTTTTCTCCAAATTCTGACTTTTCAAAATTTTGGTTCTGTAACTCTGAGGTTTTTTTAAGCTCAAGATTAAAAAAAAAAAAAAAAAAAAACTGAAGAAAGAGAAAAAAAATTACTCATAAGGGTGGGGACTCCTAATTAAAGCAAATCCATCTGCCTACTACCTTTAGGGCATCACTTTCACTTAAAATAATAGCTAAACAAACAAACAAAAACCAGCTAAATTGTCCTGACTTCTATTTTAAAGACATTTATAAAAATATAAAAAAGAAAACACTATAACAACTAAAAAGAAAATTGCATCTGATGCTGTATCCCATTACACATCACAAAACAGGAACCATGTCAAAGTAGTAAATACAAGTTACACATGGACTTTAGGACGCACCACGGACAATGATCATGACCAGGTAATCTTCTTCAGATTTGGCCAGTGCCTTGGCAGGGGAATCCAGGAACTGTTGGGAGAACTCACAAGGTGGGAAGGCATGAAGGACCCCGGTGTTTTCCTTGTCTTTGTTGCCCCCCACAGGGAGGCTGATCACCCCGGCTGCCTGCTTTTGCTTTAAATAGGACACAAGGTTCCTGAGTGGCCTCTGAGTAGAAGTGGCAGTGTCTGATGCAGCTGAGGAAGAGGAGGACCGGCTGTCAGAACTTCCAGGCACAGCCAGAAGAATAGCATAACCATTGGGCCCTGCTACTTTGATGCGTCGAGTTACTTCATCCAACTTGGGCTGATCCAAACGGAGACGCTGAGTGATCTTAAGCTGGGCCACTTTGCCTCCAGTTGAACCCTCCACAAGAAGACTACTAGCCACTTGGAGGTCACCCTGCAACAGATGCATGTTGGAAGGAAAGTTGCTGTTCTTCAGTAGAAGCATGCCCTGCCAGGCCAAACAGAGTTTGGGAGAGGCTGCTGCCGCAGGGGCTGTCCCCCCATCCTGCTTCTGGGACAGGGACTTCAGCTTGGAGGAAGCAGTGCTGGTGCTAGGTGCACTCCCATCAGAGCGGTCTTCTTTTTTCAAAGGGCTTTTTCCCTCAGTGGGAGCAGTTGTCCGGTGCTTCCTATCTCGTTCAGCTGATGCAGAGTTCTTACGGTCTCGCTTGTCACCCTGGCTTTTCTCCAAACTACCTCGTCTGTCTCTGATTGGAGAAGGCCTTTCCAAGAGAATAAGACGAGAAGATCGATCATTATCGCTGTTGTAACGATCCCGACTACTGCTCAATTCTGGACTGCGATCAGGAGAAGGAGCGCAGTGACGCTTTCGTGGGCGGTCACTTTCAGGAGACCTATCCAGATGTCGTCCTCCACTCTCCTCAGGCAGCCTTCGCTTCCTAGGCTGGTCTCTGCTGCTAGGCAGATCTCGATCACCTCTGTCCCGGTCCAAGGACCAACCATCTCGCCTGCGATCCAGGCTATCCAGTGGCTCATAAGCAGGCACAGAAGTAGCTGCAGTCCGAGTGCTGCGTTCCCTGACTGGGGGTGGGGGTGGCACCCAATCAGAGTCAGGATAAAGGTCCCTATCACGATCTCTGTATAGTAAGGGTGGTGTCCTATCCCGAGCACCCCTCAAAGGATCAGGCGCCCGATGTCCAAAGGCATCAGTCACCAGCTCATAATGAGTCAAGGGCAGAGGCTGCAGATATTGCTGCTGGTAACGATGCTCAGTGTCGGCAAAGTCTACTCTAAGGCGTCGGTCTGGGCCACCAAGTGGGAAGCCCCGCATATGGGTCCAGGCAGCATGCGCTGCATCCAGGCTTTCATATTGGATATATGCCCAACTATCACCTTTTCGGTAATCTATGGTTCGTATGGTGCCAAATCGATCAAATTCTCGTGCCAGGGCAGCAAGAGGAACCCAAGGTCCCAGGCCTCCCACCCAGAGGCGGGTGGTGGGTGTAGCTTTACCATAACCAATTTTGATAGGATTCCGAATAATAATTTTGCCAGACATTGCTAATTTGGCCCGGTGAGACATATCTAGGTTCTCAAATTTGAGAAAGCCATAAGTACTAGTCTGGCCGCGAGAAGGCCTCTTGATATCTACTTCTGTGATGACTCCAAAGCGATCAAACGCCCTTCTTAAGTCACTCTCGGTTACAGTGATGTCTAGGTTGCCCAAGAAAAGCGTCCGGTTAGCTCGCTGATCATCCTCGGGTGAAATCTCATCCACTTCTCTGAAAGGAGCAGCACCTGTTCCAGCTCCCACCCTTGGCTCAAGACTGTATGCTGGGCGCACTCTCTCGTAGAATGGGTAGTCTCTTTCTCTCTCCAGCTCTCGAGGCAATGGGGGCGGAGGTGGAGGGGGAAGGCGGCCAAGAGCCAACTGCTGCAGCCGGTAGTCTCTGTATCCCAAAGCAGCGCCACCAGGGGAAAGTGATCTCTGGCCTCCACCACCTCCAGGAGGGTGCCGGTGACCACCTGCAGAGGCCCCGACCACGCCGGCTGAGGGAGGATAAGTATCTTTGTCTAAAGGGGAGCGGCTGCGGCGCCGGCTCACATACACAGCTTCTATCTTCAGAGGCCGGTCATAAAGCACCAGGCGGCCTCTGGCATGCTTGGCCGCCCGCGCGTCCTCTGGCCGCCGGAAGTTCACAAAGGCTACCCGCTCATCCCCGCTGCCAGAACCCGACAGATGACTGATTTTGACACTTACATCACCGAAGCGTTTGAACTCATGAAACAGGCCGTCCTCCACCGCTTCGTCACTCAGCTGAGACCCCAACTCGCTTATCTTCAGAGTCTTGTATTCCCCGCCGTCCCCGCCGCCGGGAGCTGAGGAGGCGGCCCCAGAGGAACGTGACTCCCCGCCTCCACCCCGGGAGCTGCTGCGCGACTCGCCCCCGCCCGAGGAATTTTTGGTGCTCGGGGAGCTGTAACTATGCAAGCGGCTACTGGAGCTGCCCCCACCGGTGTCATACTCGCGGCTGCCACCTCGGCTGCTGGACTTGTCTAGGTGCAGACTCCGCCGCGACCCGCCGCCGCTATCTGTCTTTCCGCTGCTGCTCCCGTTGCTGCCACCAGAGCCACCTAACTTCTTGCTTCGCTCCCCGCGGGAAGTCGAGTCCTCACCACCACGGGAGCGTTTGGCCTTGACTGGCGAGCGCTCTTTCCCCTTCATTGTTGCGGGTCGTCGGAGGTCGTCTCCGCGGAGGTGATTAACCCGCCACCCCGCGCTCGTTTCACACAGCGGAACCGCACGCCGCCATCTTGGACTCCGTCGCGGCACAGGATCCCGCCCCGCAGTCCTCATTGGCCAATTAGCTCTCTCTTCTGCAATCTCATTGGAAAAATTATTTGTCTATCTTTACATCTCCCCGCGCTCCAGGAAGGCGCCCGCCCGACCACTGTTATTGGGTTCCCAACGCCCTAGTCAGAGTACCTCATTGGCTATGTTTGTTGTCTATCTTAACGGTTCCTCGCGCCAGGCTTTAGCTCCGCCCCTAGCACTCTACGGTCATGTGACCCAAACTCTGGAGGTCTTGATTGGACGAAAAGTCTGCCCTGTAACGGTACTTCTTACTCGGTGAAAGCAGCAACCCCACCTCCTCATTCCTTTCATTGGCTAATAAACCTGTCCTTTAAAGCACTATTTGGGAGGTCAGGCCATCCGTTTCAGCGTTTTTTCCAGAGGCTGACTCACAGCGATATCGCCAGAGGGGGTGAGCTCCCTCTTTCGACCCTCTTTTTCCAACTCCTCCGGCGGCTAAAAGAAGTTTAAATCTGATTGGATGTCGGCAAGGAAGTTGATAGGCTGCAATAACTGTCCATCACTTGGTTAAAGGGGTAGGCCCGTATAAAGGAGGAGGCTGACTGAAGGTTAAAGACTAGAACACGTGCTTACTGTGCGACGTCACTTAGATGTCGCGAGAGGGTGGCTGTGAGCCAGCCCCGCCTCCCCGCCTTTTCAGCGTTCTCCCACAAACATTTGTTCAGTTCCGTGAGGTACTTAGCTGTGCTTCGGCCCTTGGAGTTTGAAACTTCTGGGCTCCCCGCCATCCTACCTGTGCCGGCCCAGGGGCGTGGCAGGCTCTCGGGCTGTCGGGGCCCTCCAGTCCCTCAGGAAGCCGTCCTGGGACGCCTAGCGGACACCATCTTAGGTCGCTGTGGCCGCTGCGTGAATAGCCGGGGAGAGCCCCGCCTGCGGTCACCCAGGCCCGCTGAGCGAGGAGTTCATGGTTCCTGCAGCCCCAGGTCACGCTGACGCCCCGGGGCGGTGCTGACACTAGGAACTTCAAGAACTTCAAGCTGCGCGGCGAAGAAGCAGCCCTCGCTTGGGAGCTCGGCTTTCCCGGGCGCTCCCCGTTCCCTCCCAAGTACTCTGGGTAGCAGAGGGGAGTGACCGTCGCTCCCCGCCTCTCGGCCCGCGGGCGGAGCCGGAACTGTCGGGACAGCGTGGACATGTCTCTGGGCTGCCTGTTTTATTTGGCGAATCTGTGTGGGTTTTTTAATTCTGTTGTCCCGTAAAATACCTATGTTTGTTTTTAACATCTAATGCTTCTCCCCGAAAAATCATCAAGCGAGATGTAGGCTCCATGCAGATATGTCACTTGGTTTCCCCCCTGTACCTTCTGGTATCCCCCACACTCCGCTGGTTGTGTTAGAAGCCAGCAGCACAGGCACCTTGCGGCCGCTCCAGATCCAGCTCGTTTGGCTCCTCCAGTCGTTCGCTTTACATCTCTTTTCCGTAGAGCATTTCTGTGGCGGACAGAGCACCTGCGGGAGGTGCAGGCGATTCCGAGCTTAGGGGAGTACGGCCTGCGCCCCAGCGCTCTGCCGGCTGCTGGAGGGACGCAGCGCTGAGGTCACCACTGCAGCCCTCCCAGGTATCCGCCGGGGCGGAGGTTATGAGGGTTCTTGCATTGATCCTGTCCTCAACCTGTTTCTCAAGATGTAATCTATAGTAGAGCGTGTGAGGTGTTTTTAAATATGACATTTTTGAAGATAACAATAATGTCCCCAAAGCCGAAACCTAAACTGGAAAACGGTGTTAAGATTAGGAGCTGTAACCTAAATTCAGCGGCTGAGCCATCCTTCTTTTTGTAAGTAATCCTGAGGAATGTGAAGCTGCAGGCCTTTTATCCCTTGATTAGATCAAAGAAAGTTGAAGGAAGAAGCTCAATTGTAAAGCATGAAAGTCTACGATCTTGTAATGTGTAAACATATTCATTGTATTAAAATGGGAAATAAAACCATAAGGCATAAAATAATGTGTATAATATGCTACCATTTGTGGTTTTAAAAATTACATTTGTATGTACATTTTAAAAATATAATTGCTTGGAAGCTTCCGTGACAAATACATGGGAAAGTGTTACTAGGATCGCCCTGAGGCTGGGTGTGAGGGTCTGGAATAGGAGGGAGACTTCACTTTTCTTTGTAGAAATCTTTTGTTTTCTACAAAAAGCATGCTATTACTCCTTCAGTTTAAAAAATAATTATTTTTAATTTTCCTTAAACTGTTTTTATGGAAAAAGTTTAAAATATTTAAAAGAATACTATAAAGAACTCCATGTACCCAACACCCTATTTCAACAATTGTCAAATCATGTCAATCTTGTTTCATCGGCATCATACTTCCCACTCTTCGTTTCTCCATTGTTTTCTTCCAGACTTACCTGATACATTTCCTGCCCCAGTTGTGGAATCAGCCATTTCTCCAGAGAGCTCTGGTTCCTTTTAGTGGGAAATGATATTTAAAGATAAAAATCTGGATGCTGGTAGGGGTGGGGGGAAAAAACATGAACACATTCTTTGTAAAAGCACAAAATAAACGAAAAATTTACCCGGGTTTAAATTTGCTTCAAGGTTATATTAATAGACCACGAATGGAAATTGAAGTTAAGCCATTATCTGATTATTCAATGTAATAGCCAATCGAGATAATAAACCAGGCACCAGAGTGACTTTTTAACCTAAATTGACCTGCTAAGGTGACTCACTGATCAAAGAAAAAGATAATAACCAAATCAGTAGTTTTCTAAAGCCATGATAGGGGTTGAGGGATCACTAGAGTTAAGGGAAAGAATTCAGCGAGATAAGCAGGCACCCAGTCTGTGTGAACATGCGCCAGAGGCATGCCAAGCTTAGTGACTTGCCACTTCAAATACCAGGGAGCTAGATGGAAGCTACTGCCCGCAGCTGGCTAGTATGAAGGCTTGCCTAGGGGGACTGGTAATCTGCCTGGAGCCAAGAGGACTAGTAAGGCTTATGGTTAGATGGAAAAGGCCTAAATTCCATTACAAGTAACAGCCAAAATATCTCCTGTGATGTGTGACTGTGGCTGTTCCACCTCAGATCATCCAGGCATTAGATTCTCATAAGGAACACAGAATCTAGATTCCTCACATACTCAGTTCACAATAGGGTTAGCCCTCCTCTGAGAATCTAATGCCTCCGTTGATCTATCAGAAGGTGGAGCTCAGGCAGTAATGCTCTCTCACCTGCCCCTCTCACCTGCTGTGCAGCCAGGTCTTAACAGGCAACTGACCAGTACTGGTCCACAGCCTGGGGGCTGGGAACCCCTGCTTTAAAGCATAAAGCTGCTTAGTGAGTTTTTTTTTGTTTTAGAGACAGGGATTTGTCACCCAGGCTGGAATGTAATGGTGCAATCATAGCTCACTGCAACCTCGAATTCCTGGCTCAAGCAATCTTCCCAATTCAGCCTCCCAAGTAGCTAGGACCACAGGCACACACCACCACACCCAGCTATTTTTTAAATTTTTTTGTATCCATGAGGTCTAGCCAGGTTGCCCAGGCTGATCTCAAACTCCTGACCCCAAGTGATCCTCCCAGCTCAGCCATCCCAAAGCACTGAGATTACAGGCATGAGCCACTGCACCCAGCCAAGTGAGGTTTCAATATCCTCTGTTTACACATGTGCTTTAGAGAGAGCACATGTGTAAAATGGATAAAAGTGACCCATGGTTTAGATGGCCAGGACTTTGAACCCTTCTTTTGCTGTTGATGATGGAATTGTTAAGGTGCAACCTGAGCTTTCATTTGCTCTCTTTGTGATTCATGGCCAGATTTGTGAGGACAGCTGACCTAGGTGAGGAGGATCTTTCAATGGTCATGAAAACAGGGCTGGATGTGGTGGCTCACACCTGTAATCCTAGCACTTACAGTGGCCAAAGTGGGGGTATCATTTGAGGTCAGGAGTTGGAGACCAGGGAGGCCAACATGGTGAAACCCCAGCCCACATCTCTACTAAAAATACAAAAATTAACCAGGCGTGGTGGTAGACGCCTGTAATCCCAGCTATTTGGGAGGCTAAGGCAGGAGAATCCTTGAACCCAGAAGACGGAGGTTGCAGTGAGCTGAGATCGTACCACAGCACTCCAGCCTTACAGCCTGGGCAACAGAGCAAGACTCAGTCTCAAAAAAAAAAAAACACCACAGAGAGAAAACAGGGTTATGTTAGTAGCAGATTCCCTGAGTATCAGAGCAGCTCTGTAAGGATACTAAAAACCACTGAATTGTATACTTTATTAATTAATTTATTTATTATTTGACCAAGCAATTCTCCTACCTCAGCCTCCCAAGTAGCTGGGATTACAGGTATGTACAATCATGCCCAGCTAATTTTTGAATTGTATACTTTAAATGTGTAAACTTTATGGTATATAAATTAAGCTTAATAAAGACTGAAAACATACTGACATCTTAAACTTATGTGCGTGTTTTCAATCAAATGTCCTCTTTCCACCCTTATCTTTCCTAGGTTTTATCGTTTGTGTATCATCAATACACACATAGACAATTACTACTGAAATATGAAATTTATCTTGGGACCTGAGAGCCATTTAATTTCTTGGTAGATGCAAAAACAAAACAAAAAGGCTAAAGCTGGGAATTAAAAATTTTTTCCCACCCATAATAGTAGATTAAAATTTTCTTTTCTTTTTTTTTTTTTGAGACAGAATTTCGCTCTTGTTACCCAGGCTGGAGTGCAATGGTGCGATCTCGGCTCACCACAACCTCCACCTCCTGGGTTCAGGCAATTCTCCTGCCTCAGCCTCCTGAGTAGCTGGAATTACAGGCACGTGTCACCATGCCCAGCTGATTTTTTGTATTTTTCGTAGAGACGGGGTTTCACCATGTTGATCAGGATGGTCTCAATCTCTTGACCTCGTGATCCACCTGCCTCGGCCTCCCAAAGTGCTGGGATTACAGGCATGAGCCACCATGCCTGAAGTAGATTAAAATTTTTTATTTCAGCTTCCTTCATAAAGTGAGTGGTGTCTTGACACTTAATTTTGTTTGGTCTGCAGAAAAAGTGTATATTTTACCCATAGGCATATATTAAATCTTGAAAGTAGCAAACAATCATTTAGGACCCAATTTGGGTCACAAAATCACGATTTGTGGTCTGTGAGTTTTTTAAACAGCTTTCTTTTTTTTTTTTTTTTTGAGACAGAGTGTCACTCTTGTTACCCAGGCTGGAGTGCAATGGCACGAT